GGTGCGCGGGCCGGGGTGCAAGGGCGGGGCGGGGCCTCTGCGCCCGGGCCGCCTCCTTGGGCTATAAAGTGAGCACAGGGGGTCCTGGGCGCCACCGCGCGGTGCACCAGCACAAGAGCCTCTTCTCCTCTTTGGACCTCTGCCCTCATCTCTGCTGGAAATGGACCCCAACTGCTCCTGCCCAACAGGTAAGGACCCCCTGCTCTGGACCTTAGGAGGCCCGTTCCCCAGCCCCATGACAGTGTCCCTGGGGTGAGAAGAGGGAGTATTTTGAGCTTGAGTGGAAGTGGACTCCTTAGACAGAGAGCAGGTTCTGTGCTTTCTCCCTGGGCAAGGACCCTCCTCCCTGGTTAGAGCATTTCCAGCCTCCCAGTCGCTCCTGTTGGAGAGGCCTGGGGCTCAAGGCTGTCCTGCTCCACATCATCTGTGGTCGGGGGGCTGCGTGCCCGGGACTCTTAAGTTGTCTGTGCTGGTTAGAGGCAGGAACTGAGGACATAAGGTCCTGGCCCCCAGACTCAGCCTAACTGAACTGGGCCTGGAGCCTGGGGCTATCCTTGGGGGGTAAATACAAGGGAGTGCACCGCCCTCTCCAGCAGAAGGGCAGAGAAGGTGGGGTAGGCTTGCATCTGCTCTATGTGGGACAGGGGTTCCCAGGGCTGGACCGTGCCCAGAGGAGGAGGTGTGGGGAGCATAGCTGAGGACGGCTGTCTCTCCTGCATCACACATCTCACTGTCTGTCTTTCTCCTCCTTGCAGGTGGCTCCTGCACCTGTGCTGGCTCCTGCAAATGCAAAGACTGCAAATGCACCTCCTGCAAGAAGAGTGAGTGAGGGCCCTTCTCTGGGAATCTGGGGCTGGGCTGACTCAGAGGAGGGAGCCCAGTTGTGGCTGTGAGTGGGTGGCTCTGGGGGACTAGTTTCCTTGGCGCCTGGGAAACTCACTGCCTCTGCAGGCTCTCTGCCCTGTCCTGGGCTCAGATGGGGCAGGACAGCCTTCTCCTGGTGAAACCCAAACCCTGAAGGTCTTACTAATTGTTTCAGGACAGAACATGCTTTTTGTACTAATGGTCCGTTGGAACTGTGCCAGGCCTGCTGTCGGGCAGGGAGGTGCCCGGTAAACTCAGCTCTGACCTCTCATTTTCCCTGCTGTCCCCAGGCTGCTGCTCATGCTGCCCCGTGGGCTGTGCCCACTGCGCCCAGGGCTGCATCTGCAAGGGAGCATCGGACAAGTGCAGCTGCTGTGCGTGATGTCGGGGGAGAGCCTACTCCCAGAAGTAAACAGAGCAACACATTCAAACCTGCATTTTTTTTTCATTCCACACTGACCTGTGTGTCCCATTCGCTTGTCTATGAAATATGTGAAGGATAATAAAAGTTGTTGCCTTTACTCTAATTCTGGTTTCTTATCTGTGCAACAGGTATAAGGAATTTTGTGCGCCGGGGCTTGGTTGGAAATTGGGCTAGAAGTCAGAGAGTTGCTTTCTGCATGGAAATGTTAGGCCCCAAGAAACTGAGTGCCTTAAGGCAAGCAGGTGATCTCACTGAGCCTCACCTACTGTCAATTGCAAGAGCCTTAGGGCCCATGCTGTGAGGGCTGGCTTCTAAAACACAGGTGTTGAGGACCATTTTTTAGTTTCTAACATTCATGGATATCAACTTTGGTAAAATAAAATAAATTACTAAGAAATTTTGAAATGACAGTATACAAAATCCATTTGAGATTCAACACACATAACTGCAATAAATATATGAAGAATCAATAAGAAAATTAGATATTTACAAACGATGTACGCATTTCCATCAAAAGTGTGCACTGAGCACTTGAAACAAATTGCAAACGCCCCAATATGTGGAGTACACAGACTTAGAGCAATGCAATACCCCCACCCAATATCCCCGCTGGGAACCATCACTCTTGCCCAGTGTTCTGACAGGACACCTGCCATGCCACTGAGAGCTCCTGGTTGTGGCTTGGCTTTGAATCTCAGGAAGTCTCTCCTGTGTCAGGCAGTTATTTGCCCCTCCAAGATCCAGCCCTTGGCTACTTGAAACCAGCAAAGTGCATAGGGATTTGGAGGGAATTGCCCCAGCTTTTCTCAGTTGGGGGGGGGGTGCCTGAGAATGTCCAGTTGAAGGACTTTGCTGGTTTCAAGTAGCCAAGGGGCGTGGCAGGTGTCCTGTCAAAACCCTGGGCAAGTGTGATGGTGGGTTTGACCGTTTGGAGGGCATGCTGGTGTTTATTAGACAGGAGTTAGCCCGTGAGTGACTTGTAATGAATTAATCGGTTAGTCCCCCCTGGCTGTTTGTGGATTTAGTTGCTATTTGATGTAAAATCAAAGAGAAAGACAAGTCACGTGGACTGGAGTCAGGACCATGCTTGCCCGCAGGTGCCCTGTGTGAAGAGGGTCCTCAGCAGCCAGCCTGCTCTGAGGACGTGGGTTCTGGAGTCAGGCGTCCTGGTCCACAAGCCACTGTGCCACTTCCTGGCCGTGTGACTGGGGGAAGTCCTTTGCCCCATTTACAGCAAGGAGCTGTATGTGAGGAAGAAATGACAGTGTCCTGGCTCCAGGCTAGGGCATACTACACAGTGGCTGTTAGGATCACTATGTCCACATTGACATTTGTGTAGAGAGAATACTTTAACTCCCAACGTGCTCCTCCGGAGAAAGGCTCATTTGAAGCACTGCCCGGGGTCGGAGGCTGGAGGTGGCAACAGAACCTTGCGGAGCAGTGCTGTGGGGAGTGTGGGTGACCTGCAGTGAGCCCCCTGGGACGTGATGTCTCTGGGTATTCAATCCTGCCGCTCCTTATTGAGAGCCAGAAGGGTCCTTTCAGCTAGTCCTGTTGTGCTCCTGGCTTGCGAGACAGTAAACTGGAGCCCGAGAGGTCACAGGGCTATGCGCAGGGATCTCACTGCCACTCTGCTCTTCCCACTGCCTCTGGGCCAGGTGTTTGGTGTCCTCCTCTTTCATGTCATGCTACGGTGCCCGGTGGCAGGTGAGGACATGATGCTGCGGCAGCCAGCACGAGTGCCAATCACACCTGTGTCACTGACAGCTGGGTGTCATTACCTGTCTGTGGCTCAGTCTCCTCCACTATGAAAAGGGAAATTAATAGTGTCTGGCTCTTAGGATTGATCTAATGCATGCAAAGAACTTAGAACGATGCCGGGCACACTGTGAGTAACCTATGATATTAGCTATTCATTTATACTGACTGTTCCTAGCATAGGAGACATTTTTCTACTTGCAGAAAAATACACCGGGCCTGGTATGTGTCGCTCTGTGTCCTGTACTGTTCTCATCAACCATGTGACCACGAGACCAGTGGCCCAGAGGAGGTTAGTCTCTCTTCCCACCAAGAGGGATCCGCACTAGGGATGTAAAGCTTGAGCAGATACAGGGGTCCCCATTTCTGCTATCACCAGAACCAGTGGTTTACATAACAATTTTTAAACCATTCATATTTCCTTAACTATATTTATATGAAGAGCAAACTCCTCACCACTACTGAAAATGAGAAACAGTTTACTTCCAGACATAGAAGGCAGCCACAAAATCACACACATATATATATATTCCTTTCGTTTATCACTTTGTCACACTCAGAATTCAGCTGGACAGACAAAATAGAGGTGGTGCAGACAAACCCCTGGGCCAAAGGGGATGTTCTTTCGCTTTCCTTCAGGAAGTGACTGGAGTCAGATCCAGGGCACCGCTTCCCAGCACCTGACCATGGGCTGTTTATAAACTCCTTGTGCTGTGTGTAATTCTGGGATTTCCCATCAGAGTTGTTAGGGTTTAAGGAGTGAAAGTGATTGAGCAAGGCTGGCACAGGCTAAATGTTACGTAATTGTCAGGAGCATGGAAAGGGAATTCACTTTTCTTGCTTGTCATTTATGCCAGGTCAACCTAGTGCCTAAAATGATCCTT